TAAAACAGAATCCTATTCCTAGTCAGATGGCAGAAACAAATAGTTATATGTGCTAAAGCACCATCAGCAAAGAGGAAGGAGTACTTCTGACTAAAATTGCTGAGAAGGGACGATTTGGGGGGAGTCTTCACCAAAAAGATGGCATGTGAGGTGAGTTTTGAAGAATGAGTGGGAGTTCAGTTTGTAGCAAATGGGGAAAAAGGAGTAGGGAAAGCATTTCAGACAAAGCAGCATTATCAAAGGGAGATATGTATAAGATACTGGCGATAATAAAAATGCTTATCAATTGGTTATAAACAGAGATCAACAAATCCAAGTGGATATCTTAACCAAGTGAGTAGATAGCAGTCATACACAAACTGTCATGGCTTTATCACTGCATACCACTTGACTATCAGCTCCAGAGAGAGACCAGAGCATTGCAGAAATGCTGAGCAGTGTGGCATGGCTAATATCAATGTAATAATAATAGCTGACATTGGGTGCTTACTATAAATCAGAAGCTGTGCTTTGCATGCTTTTTCTTATTTAATCCTCCAGTCAACACCTATAGCGTAGATATGATGCCATTCCTACTTTACAGATGGAAAAGTACGTATTAAAGAGATTAAGTCACTTTCCTAAGGTTGCCCAACTCAGAAATGTGAGAGCTGGGATTGAAGCCTATACACACTGACTCCGAAGCCTATACTCTCTCCATGTGCGGAAGACTGCATCTGTGAGTCAAGCTTGTTGAACAGTAGCAAAGTTACAGGGTAGAAGCGCTAAGATGTCAGCCCTCATGAGAAAGTCTTCATCAGTAGATTGTAGCTGATTGGAATTAAAGGATCAATATAGGGCCTCCCCAGTGGCGTAGGGGTTAAGTTTCAGTGCTATCACCACTAAGGCCTGCGTTCAATCTATGGCCGTATATGGCGCAGCAGACCTCTCCTGTTTTAGCCACTGCTCCCCTTAGTGTATTTCAGTAAATCTGCCTGTTCTGCTCCCCACTTTGTATAGGTTTTGGAGTGTGTGTGTGTGTGTGTGTGTGTGTGTGTGTGTGTAATATATATATATATATATAACGAAGAATGATGTAAATATATATAAATATAAATATATTTAATATAATTTAATATAATATATATATATATACATCATTCTTCGTTTTAGTACAATAAATGCTTTCTCCTCGTAAAATTAACTAAGGTATATTGCATCAGGTGATTGATAGAACATAGGCTGCCGCTGTGACCGTCTGGAAATATACAAAAGGTAAAATAGGTTGACCTTCCCTCTATAGATATCATTGTTTGCTTGAGAAGCAAGATCTCATGGTTGCAATATCAGGAATATTGCAAGGACTATCTTACAGCGAATGTGACCCTTGCCCAGTGAGTGGGATGGATAGTACATGCTGGGTCAATTCACTGAACTGAAGTGATCATGGAAAAAACGGAACTTGAACTTGGCATTGAAAGGTATGGAATAATGGGAAGAATATGGAATTAGTTTCTAGAAGTACAAGGGTTCACTGGTAGCAGGGTGACCTGACCAAAGTTGTTTCCTTCAATGTTTTTATTTGTGAAATGGGTAATTTGAATTAGACTAGTGGCTCTTAACAAAAATACCCTCCCCCCAAGGTATTTTGAAAATTTTGAGGGCATTTTGGCTTTCAGAATGATTGGGGGAGGAAATTAGGTGGAGGCTAGGAACGAATGATTGTTATTCTGCACGATTCAAAGAATTGTCTCCTATCTTGCCTTGCCTTTAGATTTCTGGACATTCATGAAGGTTATATCTGTTTATGTAAGCCTGGAACGTGATCACATTTTCCTATACAAATGAAATTTTCATGGTTTTATTATTATTGATGAAACTACCCAATAAATTAATGATTAAATTTTACTTTTCATAAGTTTCCTCCGACTTATTCACCATTTCAGAGAATCACTGCATCAGTAGCAACTCCATTCATGGTACTGCATCACCAATACCACATTCTATTCATTCTGCTTCAGCAGGCTGTAGTGTGATTATGCATTGAACCCCAAAACTCTTGACAACTTCATTAAATCTTCTAAAATTACCATGTATGATCATTTATATATTAAAATAAATAGTTTCATTAAACATGACTTTTTTTCTTTGCAATATAGCTATGGCATAATTTGTGCCTTTTTAATTACTAATTACATCATTGTTATAACTTATTCCTATGATTCTCTTTTAAGGATAGCAAGAGAGAATAATAAATACTTATATAACAAAAAAAAATGGTGTAGAATTAAGAATTACGGTACTAGATGATCTCCCAGGGCCTTTCAGTTGTAATTTTCTGTGGGTGTACGGAGGAAATTTGGATTTTGGATTTTGGAAGGAAAGAGAAGAGAATTCCAGGGTGGGAATGATGTGGCCTGGTTGAGCAGAGGTTGGAGTGGCCCTAAACAAGCCAGGATAGGGCAGAGACTTCCTTTGGGCTTCTTGTCATGATCCCGGGAAGCCACTCCTTTCATCCCTTCCCCCTCCATCACTGTAACTGAAGACTCCTGGGGGAACTGCCAGGGCCAGCCTTACAGGAAATTGCCCTTGGCCAGTGGGGCTTCTCTGGTTACCTTCCTCAGTGACAGAGGACAGCGGTGGCTTCCTGTCTATTAACTGGGTATCTTTGCCTCCTTGTTCTGCCAAGTTCCCAAGAAACTTTAGCTTCCGCTCCTTACATTTTATTTCAGTTTCTGTTATTAGGAATTTCCCCCTGCCTTATCCAGCTCCCTTGCCTCAGGCCTCCTTGCTCTATGCTAGACACCTGGAAACTTTTGGTCCACAATAGGCAAGTTTTATGGGATACCCAAGAGGCACTGTTTGGAAGTAAGCCATAGCTCTGAAAGGATACCACTTTGATTTTGGCATTGCCTACTGAGTCCTCTCCCATGAAGTGAATGACTTTTATCATTTAATAACACATTGTCTTTTCTTCTTGCTAATTATATGTGCTTACTGAAGACTGCTTGAAAAAATACAGAAATGTATGGAGGTGCAAATGTAAATTATCCAAAATCCCAAGAAACAGTGCTCAATTTAAGACAAATGTGACAGTATAGATAAAGGTTAAATTCAATGCTTTTCTGTCTGTACTCCATACTGTGTCAGCTTTCTCCTCTCCTAGCACCTCTTGATCTCACCCTTATGAAAACTTGCTGTTCTGTATACCATAAAGTGGAGGGTAAACTGGAAAGTGTACAATAGCACTTACCATGTCAAAGGCATATAAGAGAGATAAAATATCTCATATCAGGAAGGTGTTTGGAATCTAAAATAGCAATATTTTGTCATAGCTCTGCCATCACTACCTTATTACTGAGGTGTTGTGGTGATAAAGCTTTGTGGGAATGTCTAAAGAGATAAGAGACCATCAGAGAAATTCACAGTACTCTCTGGGAATTAGGAAAAGGCTCACAGTACAAAGAGGCAAGAATGATTAAGTGTGAGGCTGGCTCATAAATATGCCTTTCTCTTTTGAGGGAAAAAAAAAAGCCAGTACTAAACAAAAAAAGTTGGATGATACTAAATTCATCCCAAAGATAAAGTTCTTGTTACAGATAAGTTATAATTTATGTTTTGTTTTTTTCCAAGGTGGAAAGGGTCAGAATGGCAGTTTCCTCATTTTTGAGTCCTCATATTGTGGCTCTGTTACACAGGGACTTAGAAAACACTAGGGTATAAAGATTAAAGTCAAAGCTTTGGAGTTAGTCAAATCTGGGTTCAAATACCAGCTCCATCCACGTGATCATCAAACACTCCTTAAATGTCATCCACTGTTTTAGGCATGAGGATGCAATGTTGTACAACATAGATAAGGTCCCTACTTACATGGAGCTTACATCCAAGTGGGGAAAAGTCATGATTTTGAACATTGAAAAGGTAACAGTGATTCGATTGCAGTAACTGAGGTTGCCTTATGTTGGTCAGGAAAGACCTCTAACAACTGATAATTGAACTGAGACT